TTGAATGGTAATCCCTTATAAATCACTTCAGTAGCCATGAAATAGCACTTACGAGCACTCTCGGCTCAGTGGCTGGGGTTCCTATTTGGATTAAAAGGGGATTAGAAGGGTGCCTCGAATGTACTACTACTTGGTTTTGGAACTACAGATTTTTTCCTGATTTGAACTATTCGCGAAAACATAGCAAGGGGAATGTAGATAACTTTTCCTCGGAAACACTTTGGTGAGGTGCCAAGCAATCGCTAGAGGCATTTTATTTCCCTTTTACTATTAGTTTCTTAGCATTGCTATGACAAGAGCTTAGAAAACACAAACCGAGTTATTCAGAGGAAAAAATGTGAAACTTCATTAGTAGCAGATATAGCTATACCCATAACAATATATAAGCAAATACTTGCCACGAGCTCCTCTGAGCAAAAGAAAATACAAATAAATATTATGCGTAGAAGTCTATATGGAAGTTAAAAAAGTAACCTATCACAGACATTGCAAATAACGAGTATTTTGGACGATTAAGATCAACTGGTAGCACTGATCACACGAGCGTTGAAAAGCTTCACCCTGGCGCTCTCGAAAGGAATGGTGGAATGTTGTATGGTCAGACGCCAGACATATGGCACAAAGAAGTCTACCGTGTTCTCGTCTTCCACATATCTGGATAAAAGCGTTGGAGTGGTATCATTGAACAAGCATTCAACAAAAAGCATCGCTGGAAAAATCAAAAAAATGCTTCCAATAAAAAAAACTGCTCTCATCTGGTCGATAGTATCACTAAAAATAGCCGAGGTGGCCTTACCTATGAATCAACAAAAATGAACACTGTTTTGGTGTGAATGGAAATGTGAGTGTAAAAAGATCAAGTGAAGCTTTTTAGCGCAGGAACACTGCTTCTTTCAAAGGAAACATCAGAATGAGAAGCAAGGAAGTACTTCGATAGATCTCGCTTCGCATTCCTACTCAGATGAATGGAAACATGAAGGCAAATGATGTTTATCGTTGTTTATGTGCCGTATGTTTTTAGGATGTGCCATGCATTTCACCTCCATATGTGGTAGTGGCATTTGTATGGAAGCTGGCTTATAAAACAGTTCGAATGACGTACAACATGCATTACCTTCTTACCAGTTTGGCTGCGCACACATTCGCGTGCATCACACGGGAAGTGCAATGGTATAAAACAGGGCCCTTGATATTTTTATAGCTTCGTAACAAACGCCGCCCACCTCGGTGCCACCCACCTATAGCGATTCACCTCCCTTCCGTTGTCAGATCCTAACCACTTTTTCCGGTTCCCAAGACTTCTTGGAACCGAGTTATGGAGTTTCGTTGATGAACTCCGCCCATTCTGGTGCACGCCCCACCCACCAGCAGCTGTCTAGCCCCCTTCCACTGTCAGACTCTATCCACATTTTCCCGATCTCCGAGACTTCTTAGGATCGAATTATAAGTTCGGCGGCAATCTTTTTCCTCACAGAGTTATGAATTTTTTTTTCTTAAGCACCGCCTATTTATAGAACGCTCCATCCACCGTGGGCAAGTCTCGACTCTGTAGGTGGTTCTTCAGGTAGTACCAAATTTCTAGCATACGGACAAACAGATAGGCAGTATCAGCGCATTATATATAGTAGGGATGGCTAGACGAATTTCTCACCGGTTAGAAGCCTCGCATGAGTGGAAGGCTTAGTAAGCCTGAATGAAATTTGATCCAATATCCAATTCTCACTGCCACTGGTTTCAACTTGACACCTACCAGCTCGACACTTATTTCAGCACCTCATAGAATCCTGACGCTTCTCACCCGGTAGTATTCGGAGGCTTCTCCGTGCATGATAAGTACTACGCAAATGACGCTGAATCTTCAAAGCACTGTACAGCTTCCCACATTGCACAACTCCCTTCCTGCTTCAACTCCTCTACCCTGAATTATCTATAGAAGGGATTCCCTCATGCCTTTACATGAGAACTTCAATTCACATTCCCATAAAACGATTCCGTTTCATAGACCACATTAAAATGACCGACTAGCAGATGAATGTCACAAAAAGAACGTTGCCGTTCGCATAAAAGAACCTGTTTAGGCCTTTCCAGAAACTGGAACTCTTAAGACTGGGCTGAAGAAGATTATTAAATGTGGAACGCAACCCACGTGCTGCACAGATACTCCCATATTTTGAAGCAGAAGCGGAATTTACAATAAAAAGGCAGCCTATTACGAAGAAAAATGCGTAGAGCTCAGAAATAGGACCCCCTTCTTGCCCGTTATACGGGGTGTCCCCCAAGAGGCCCGTCACGCGTCGAAGGAAGAGACGCAGGCGCGGAAGTAGAGTGTACCATACTACGTCTCATATCGCACAGCACGCGCTGCGACTCGTCCTTTGCCGCATCTGCGTCTCTTCCTTCGCCGCGCGACGGGCCTCTTGGGGGACACCCGTTGTTATATGCATTAAGACGAGTTTCATCGGTACTGACCTCATCCACGTGAACGTTCTGCTCTGCGTCTTTCGTTATTGGTTAGCATCCACTGCGAGAGCCCAACAGCAAAGAGGGGAGGGGTGGACAAGCTTGAAGCGTGCGGCATCGAGGGCGTGCGGCTCTACTAGGCCACTGGAAAGATGCCGCTCACTGCCGCACAATTAAGTAACCCGCCTGCCTATATTAGGTACATTCCCCTTTCTGTAACCCCTGAGCTTATTGTGGAACCCTCCTTTACTTGTTCAGATGCACCAAATTATTCGAATATCATGTGTCAAATTACAAATGCTATATCACTTACCTAAACCGTAGTTCAGGAAACTTGGCTAATCGATCTGTTGGCAAAACAAGAGCTTCTTTCTCAATAACTTCCATCATTGCATTTCCATCTCCAGCCCTAACATTCACAACTTTAGACGAGAAGTGCGAGATGACGAGAGTGATATTCGCGAGGAGATCCTTAACATGTTTGCATTATAAACACAATATATCACAATATTGCCGAATGCATTTCCAGAACCGGAACGAAACAAGAAAAATCTGTTCCAGAGCTATGGAACGTGTTGGAAGGCAAAGTTATCAAACCTGAAACATAGGGTGGTGTTGATAAGAATCAAAAAGGCTCCGATGATAGAGAAGTGTATAAATGAGGTGTGGGTTGTTGCGAAGATTTCCACAGAGAGCACTATTAATTATCTCTAATAAGGTTCGAATTCCTTCCTCTAGTGCAGTAACATCGTCATGCTGAAATCATAATTCAGGTGATATTCATAATTAGTATAATGAAATTCTCGCATTCTCCACATACATAGCTGAGTGACTGCCCATCCGTAGATTCACGTTCAGAGTTTAGCCGCATATGCTCCACCATCTTCACGTGGCGCTTGGTCAGCAACTGAAGTAGTAGAATTCGTTTGCTTATACGCCATTATAGCCAAATAAGCTCGAATATACCTCAAGGAGTGCGATCATCTTCTGACATACCACCGGAGAGAGGTTTTTAAAGTATGCCGACATGTTTGCAAGGGCGGCCAAACAGTTTGTATGCAAGTAGCGGTCCTAAAGATACACAAATATAATGAAGCTACCACCAGATTCTCAAAAATTTCAGTAAAAGAAGTAGAAAATGAGAAAATGAAGGAAAGTTGGTCTGGTCCGCTCAGAAGTTGTTCAAAAGTGGACAGCACTCACTCGCATTCGAATAGCGTTCTTATGGATAGTCCGCACAAACACCATCACACATATGCCGCCTAGAGATATCTCCCGTACGGGGCGATCAACTTCGAGCCAATCAACATCCCGTATTGTCTAAATCAACAAAAGGAACAATGAGAGAAAAATTCGCGTGGACCAAAGGCAACGTACCGTTTCATGGATTATTTTGCAGAAGAAGTCGTCTTCGCTGAGGATCAGCATGACAATCAGAGCGAGATACATATGGTGAGAATTAGACGATAATGAAGCTACGCCCTCATGAAGAATTTTAATGACAGGTAGCACCTAAAAAAGACATATATAAAATAGAGATAATGGCACCTCCCGAATTCACTTTTCGGTTGTCTCCAATTCGGACGAGGTTCGATCTACTCTAAAAGACAAATACAACTGTTTGACAATTGTACTTCTCATTTAGTTTTTTTTGAATAGATGCTCAAGACCTAATTTGCTGAAGGATTATTCACATTCGTTGAAGCCACAAAAAAGAATAAGGAAAAATCTGTAAGGGGTGATAAACATGCCAACAGTGGCACTGTGATCATATTCTCACAAACAGAAGGAGACGAATTCTAGGTCCTGTAAGATAACCCACATATTTCTGGAAGGCAGCTTCATGAAAAGCAAGTCATGGGTGTGCCTTAGGAAAAGGGTAAGGGTATCATAACTTAACGTAAACTGGACGAGATAATGAGGAGGAACTAACGAGATTTTCCAAGTTTATCCTTGACAAGATGAAGTTCCTAAAGCCACAATTGCGATGCAGCAACAAGTAGAGCAGTAACATTGGAGGTTCCTGACAAGCAGTCGCACAAAGCCTCTCGTAGAGTGCGTTGTAGTCGAGTTTGAAAGTGACTTTATCAGTAGCGAGACTGGAAACCTCTGCAAAAGTCTTATGTTGCCCTCTTGTGAGCGAATCTTAAGAGATACAAATTTACCTTGGGAATTTTGGAATAACGCCAGAGTTTCCTTGAAAGGATTGCAACCCTTTGATGGATGATGACATGCAAGATTCAAAAGCAGTAATATGCTCAAATTTCCCAATGTTACTGGATATTCTTGTACTTCATCTGGCACTTCCTCTGCACCCGTCGCCGCTTGCACTATGGACCAGAATGAAGCTGAAAGCGGTCTATGCTCACCCTACATTGGATGAATCCAGTAATGTGCATGTAAAATTACTCACATGCTATTCCAAGGACAATACTACCTCCGTCATTCTTTTTAAGTGGGTGGTACTCGCTATTGTGGATCAAATAATTTCGAAGTAAAGTTTTTGTCAAAACTGCAGCTTGCCTGCTACTAAACATAATATATGATTAGTGCAATCACCACAGCGCATTGAAGCACTTACCATGCACCGTTGATGAAGTAAGAGAAAATAACCGAAGTATTAGCAACTGCATCGTTGTACAACTGCGAACTGAGCATTGTTATGAGGCACTTGACTGCTTCTACATGAATCGCCATAGTATTATCACTAAAGAAAATTGCGTAAGACGTTTAACACATGCAGCTGAGCATAGCTATCCTGAATGTGAGTCGATCGACTTCACTGTGAAAATGTCAAAGACAGCAGGTTTGGAGGAATAAAGCAACGAAAATTCATGCTAATTCGAAAGTGAATTCATAAACACTATTCATTCAGGACCAAATTATTGGTTTCAGAGAAATAGTTTCGCTTTTGACCAGCCAATTGGAAGAGTAAAATTAAAATGACAACTAATGTCAAATCCAAGCACTTCGCTGATGAAGTAGTCTTAAGTTTAATAGAAGCCATTCATATCACACTACGGCATAGTCGACGTTAAAATGAGTCTTTTTTTTCTAAACTACATAAGAACTGCAAAACATTAGAATAATGCGCTAATGCAACTTACTTAACGGGCAAATCAGCAAGAATATCTATTAAAATGTCAATAAGCTTCTCTGCCGTATTGGAATACTGCGAATCAGAATCCGTATCATTGTCCGCTTCTACTGAAAGTAAAGAATGCTCAGTAAACCGAAGATGGAAAAAGAGAAAGACTTACCCTCTTCATCAGAAGAACCCACGGAAGACGACGCAGCGGATGCAGAAGTGGCAAATACTTTGACAAATTCCGCTTCTGTCATTCGCTGTGTTAGGAAACTTACAAATGTACCGCAAAATAATTAGGGCATTAGACGATTGCCACAGGAAAATCTTGCTGAAATAGATTATTCTCACAATAGAATTTGCCTTGCCAGTTACTATGGTGAAGCTGTTTCACAAAGGAAGTGCGAGATCCAGCGAAAGCAAAGTTCAGGTAATATTAGTGAAAAAAACAGTGAAAAAAAAGCAAAATAAACTACAGTAGACCGGGTTTAAAGGATAGAGGAATGCGCAATACTACCTTCGTTGTTAAACCTGTACTATCTCTGTTAGTTTACAGTCTCTCCTGGAGTTACTAGCTGTCAAAGGTGGCACTTGCTCGTTCAAGGAGGGGATTGAGGCAGGATTGACTAACAGCGACAGGCCCTTGAAGTCCTTATAAATTTTGAGCTGTAAACTGCAGAGGCACAAAAAAATGACGCGACAAAGAATCTATAGGGGAGTTCAGTGACTTTACTAGTAACAAATCTTTATGCACCGTGGAATGTGACTTTGAAAGATGATATTTTTACGCGTGCTGCCATATGTTCATCTTTACGTTGACTTAGCACCGATTCACAAAAGCCAACAGCCTATGACAAGTTTTCGCTGGCATATACAAAAGAGGCACCAAAAGTTAGTGGACAAACCTTCGGGGTCTCTTTATGTGATTTTATATCTGATCCTGATGAGACTCAAGAACAGCTAATATCAAGAAGTTTTAGTGTTGGACCAGCTTACGGAAAGTTGTTTGGACTCGTTGACTTTCGAAAACAGATTTAAAAATTGATTCACAACGTCCCTTCTGAGTTCATGTACACATTTTTGGCCCCTCTCCAGTTTTCCATCATAACACGAAACACGAAATAGTTGAACTAAGGAAACATGAAAAGTTTAGAAACCAATGCACGAGTTTGCTAGTGAAACATATATGGCATTCCAACTGCTCACTCCAGTCCCGTGCATTCAAGCGTAATAAGTTCTGTCACTAAGAAAATAAAACTTGTATGCAAACCACGAAAATGAGATTGGGCACGAATACCGGTTTGAAAATCTTTTTTTCAAAAGTCAAACGAAGAGCGAAGGCACCACTGTGGTTGTAGCAAAAACCAAAAGTGGTATCATTTTAACCAAACTCACTTTTCATACTGCTCCGATGTTTTGAGTTCAGTCGACCGTCGAATAAAAACTCTTATGAATGCCGCAAAGTTTCCGCTTGTTTGCGTGTTATACATCAGCGACTGTAGAAAATCATTCAGCGATTCATCGAATGCCCGCGCCTGGGCTCTGAAACGTTGTAATTGAAAACCTTTCCAAAGTGCAGAACCTAAATGTGATGTTTTTGACTGGTTGCTATTATTTTGAAGACAGTCTCAGCGGCGACCATTATGGGAATCACTTTTATCTGAAGCAGTTCTTTTTTTAAGAACGAATTGCTACGTTAACGACGTCAAATCTCTCGTTATGGAGAAATATCGCTTTGAGGTTAACAACAGCAGGCCAGTAATAGTACGAAAACCGGCTTTTACGGTTCCATTTTCCAAAGACGTGGACCGGTAGGTCTCGAACTATAGTACTCCAAGGAGTTCCAAAACTTGTCAAAATTTTGTTGAGTTAGGAAGAAAACTTTGTTCCTTCGAAAACGCCAGACGGTTACAGCGAGTATACACAGAAACACGTCCTTATTGTGGGAGTGGGCAGCTTACTATTGCTCCCTAACGACTACACAGAACGCAATGCACCATTATAAAACAGCAAAACAGAAGAAATGCCGAATAAAAAGAAAGGAAACGTACGTATCGTAATCATCAATCTTCAGATTAAATGATAGCAGATTGTTCCAGAAAGGATCGATGTCAGTGATCGGATCAGTGCCAGTGAATCTTTGTAGCGGTACATTCTCCGCAATGTGGGTATCGGAACTAATTACGCCACCCATACTATCTACGTCCTCTGCAAAATATCACGTTAAAAATTAGAAACAGCGCAGCGCAAAGTCAGAAACATTATATTGTAAAGGTGATCTTCAAATGTATGTACATTTCATAAGTAAACTGTTTCCACCTATTATCTACGGAAAACATTATCCGCTGTGCAAACAATACACCTAGAAATTGAATGTTCAAAAAACTTTGAGGACCAATAATGCGACAATAAACGTCGTAATCACGCTAACAAAAATTTTACTTTGAATGAATAAACGCTGCCAATTACACAGAAAATCGGATCCCTAGGTGATGTACCCAAATATTGAATCCGTGCAACTCCGAGCCCGAAGTGATGCAGTCCCATAATAGTTTGAGGATTTTATGAGCTTTTTTGAGCTTCACTCCTAATCTATACCGGCTTTTTGTTACAGGCCGCCAGATATGGAATTTTTCCAAGTGATCCTCAAAGCCTGCGAGACAAAAAAGATTACAATTTGAGAAATGCTTATGCTGAAAAGGCTAAATGTTTCCAAAAGCAATTCAGTATTAATAAAAAAGAAGAACATTCTGCCTTTCTTCCAATTTAGTAAGTTGCACTGAATTGGGAGTTGTTCGCCCGACTGGCAATGTAGTTTGACAGAAGCCAATCGAGAAACTCTTAAAACGCATGTGATGGTGGTATTTCTAAAACCGGAAAACGGACTCCATCTCAGAATGAAAAGAAAAATGCTTGCCAGCACCTACGCTAATGCTTCAAATCTACGTGGCATTTTGAGCAAACAAGTGCTTGGAGCCCCAAACAAAAAAGAAAGCAGCGAGCTTTACTACTGAGACAAAACAAGTAACCAAATGGTTGTATGTTCAATAGAATATGACACAAATAAACCAAGGAACTATTTAAACAACTCACCATAGGCCAAGTAGCCAAAGAAGCACTCCGAGGAAGATCGCGCTCCATTGTAATTATGTGCGCGCAAAGCACTTTTGCCTGATCAGGGAAATCCATGCGACTCGTCGCAACTACATATTCCGGATACCGTCGGTGCCACGAGTATGATGAAGTCAATGACTGGGTTTCTTGATAGGGAAGCTTTTTTTCAACGTCCACGATTCTTCGATACCGCAAAGCTCGGCCCTGCTCCAATCACTAGAGCTCCATCTTCAGGCTAACGCCTTACAGGTGCTTCATTAGGAGTTCTTTTGCTATTCATTGATCAAAAACGTATATGTTAAGCCGGCAAACAAGGCTATTGCAATTGAACTAATTCGTAGAAGTTCAATAGAGCCGTAATGCAGAATGAACTAGAGCCACTAATACTCAGGTAATTTCGCTGGAATCCCCAGCTTGATCAGACTTTTCTAGTGCCTTGTGGCGGGGCTACACCCTCACACGAAACGGCTTTGTTGGGACGACTGCTTGCCTACGTTGTGCGCTCTTCGTTCTGCTTTTGAAATTTTCAGCTGGTTCTTCATGCTTTACTGCTTTGTATTCGGTCTTTCATGGCATTTTCATACCAATAAGTAGCATATTTTTGACGCTGATGTGATTCCGAAAACATTTTTGCTCAGAGGGAAGAAATAAAGCTAATCCCGGCGACAGAGGTCCATCCCTGCAACGGGTACTCCGCTGAGTTGTGGTGGTGGCGGTAACCTTTAATTCGATTTCTCTTCCGCAAATAAGTTCATGAGTATAAAATCGCTTCGGAGACTTTGCGCATTCTTCATTTTTCCAACTCAGGCCATTTTTTGATATGCCCTTTGCTCTCTACTGACGTAAGGAACCCAGTTGGTGACTTTTAATGTTCCTGTATTTGTTAGGGTATTGTACCTACTGATAATTTCGACGTGGATCATCGCATTAGACACTTTCACTTCCAAAGCCCATCCGTACGATTTTTTGCATTAAAAATCGTCCTTATTCATCGTGAAGCCTTTTTGCCTCCATTACCTAAGCAGAGATATTCCCAGGACTTTGGTAGGGTTCTGAATGCAGTGCAAAATGCTATATGACATCTTCAACCTCCCCTTCATACTTCGGATTTCAATTTCAGTTGCTCACTTTGCTTCAAAGGAAGATTTCGCTTTGAATTGACTCTATTACCTTTCTTACAGCTCACCAGATTGAAACTGAAAACGAATGTCTCGAGAAATGTTTCTTTATTGTATTGAATTGTTGATTTACTGTTTCTCTCGGCTCGTTTTGGGTGACCTTGCTCATGACCAATATCATATGATTCCTGGCTCAGACACGGGAGAGAATTTCAGTAGAGCGCGTGACTGCTTCATTCACGAATAAAGCTCAATCGTCTCCGCTGCAGATGTTTGGAATGGCATTTGAATGTGGCGAAGTGCCTAAAAACTTTTGCGCGTGGAACACTGCGAGTGGGCTTACGTGCCATTGTAAATCTTGGAGAGCATGGATGACGCTGCTCGTCAGGTTAGAGGAGAACAATGGTAATCTTAACCAGGGTAGAACACGGTCTAGGATGCGCGAAAGGGTCGCGTTCGCCTTCTGAGGTGGTATCTGGTAATTCCGGAGGAAGGGGGGGGAGGCTGTCATCAATGTAAACACAGTGGAGATACCCTCATCGTCCTCACTCAGCTTACTGTTTTTTTGGAGGAGCATGTTGCACCATCGGAAGGTGGAGGGAAGGAATGGGCTAGGAGTCATACCGAGACCTGGTTAGGGCGGGGAAGGGTCGTCACTCACTCGACGAGCTGCTTACTCGGGGGAGGGGTATCATATATTTCCCCCAGGTTAGGGGACAAGGGTTCTTCAAATTCATTTATTTTTGAAAACCCAGTTCCTTTACTTTCCGCACATCCTTGCTTTAATAAACATATATAAATTACAAACATGCACTCTCTCAGAGCGATTTTTGTTGAGAAGACGAAAAGAATTTAAAGGAATTATATTCCCCTACCCTGGGGAGGGATAGGATATTGCCTCTGGTGTAACTGGCCACAGTGCGAGTAGTTTTGCGTGAACCTATGAGACACTACAGTAGAAAAACGGTACACGATGCCGTTCAGAAAAGTGGTCTTGTCGGCATTAGGTCCCTTCTCGAAGAGCTCATATGAGGTTCGGGGGTCAGGGTACGCCTCCTTTATCCTTAATACCCCTAGGTTGAGATTTTTTTTGATGCACGAGAAGGTGAAGGTGGTGTAGTTTAGAAACAAGTGGCGACGTTAGTACAAGCATGGTTAAATCTTAAACCTTATTATGCTCCGCATGGCTACTTTTTCTACCCCTTTAGGATTGTTTCTTGGTATCAAGTAATCTGTAGAGGAAAAGTGAACAAAATTAAATTTTGTCTGATTTTTACAACTCATACCTACATGAATCCCCTGCATCATGTGCCACCAAATATGAGTAAAAGTCGATAGGCGTGGCGCGTCTTCGAACGACAGGGCATGCTAATCCTTTATCTTTAAATCAAAATCGAAGATTAGTATCGCAAGGCAATATCTTCAAGTGAAATAAGAAATCTCGGAAACCACAAAAGTATTTGCTCTTCTTGGTAACTACCGTAATAAATCGTTTAGGGAAGAGTAGATCGGCAAGAATAGACTGTTTAGGGAAGAAAGACTAAGAACGGCTCACGATCTCAGTTTTGGGCACTGCAATGAGCTCCATAGACCGATCAATTCTAGCCTGCTCAACCGCCGTGCGATGCGTTAGTAATAGTATGTGCCGAGAATCGACGCCTTTCCCAAGTAAGGCCTTTCTTTGGGAAATTTTGACGAAATTGAAAGTGTCACCTAAAAATAGGCAAAAATTGTGAGCCAGTGAAAATTTCGGCATGAACGCGACGTGTTGGGAGAGAAAAAGCTTGAGAGGTTTGAAGATGAGTCAGACCGCGCCAATAGGTGTAGACGGTTGAATGCTACCTAATTCAAGAAATGTTCACAAAGAATTGATGAGGAAATTGCAACCCTTTTGCGAGTCCTCACTTTTTGACGCGAATCGAACCGATCGTTTGGTCTTCTAAATAATGTCGCAAAACCAGAGCAGGATTACGAAAATGTAAGTTTTTATTTTTTATGTTTTCGAACAATTTTTTGGCTGGGTTTCTGAAAACTTGTTGGTTAGATATCAAGACTTCGATAATATTGATGGGAATTTTCCGCAAGCGAACTTTCCAAGAAAGTTGTATAGTTTTTAGGTCGGGTATTTGTTACAATAAAGGTCAGTCGAAGACCCCTAATGGCTATAGAACTCTTCGTGCTTGTACTAAAAATTGAAATAATCGGCACTGATCGATCTTGTTCTGGTTTGCGCCATAAACCCAATTTCCACGCAAAAAAGGTATAGGTATTTCACTTTGTGACGCATACACGCGTGGCTTTTGGGGCACTTGGTAATGGGAATGCATTCAAAACCGCATAAACAGCCCCTTTTTTTCGTATAACTTCGGCGGGGATCAAAGCTCCGCGAGGAGGGAGAGGCTCTAGGTGTGACGATTTCGTTTTCCCAAAACTTTTGGACCCTCTCCTAGACCTAGTTCTAGAGAATGCCTCTGTATAATGCGATAGCGCCAATTTTTGTAGCGACAGAAAGAGCCTTCAAGAAGACTTTTAAGATGATGAGGATGGTGATGGATATTGAACGTAGCCAACGATTATTCAAAAACTGCGACTTAACAAGCATGCTTGAGCCGTGAGAAGTACGCTCCTAAAATGGTTCTATTGCATGTTTTCCACTTGGAGCGGCTCTCGACAAACTTTTACGGTAGTGATGTTAATTTTTAGGCAGTGAATGTTCTAGCGCTCATTTATTTGATTTGCACATTTGATTTGATTTACTCATACATAAATTTATTCACTCATCGTTTTCCTTTCAAGTGAGCGATTTCCAATTGCGATCGATTTATGACGCTCAAGAATTGCAGTCATTGGATTCGGTTTCTTCGCCACCCCGTGATGCCTAATTCAAGCGCACGAACAGCGGCCTGACTTTTTAAAGGAGTCGTAAGCCTCTACTTCGGGTTTAACAGTGTCGGCCTGAGATACTGTAGCCCTCTCACCCCAGGTGCTTGCGACCACTCTCTTAACATTTCGCGTGATAACTCTGTGATGCAGTGACTCATATCCTTTGAGCGTAATCGGTTTCTATACGAAATGGTCGTGTTTTTTTCTTTTTATTTTTTATTTCATTCCGTTGTCTGCTAGTTAAAGTATGATGGAATCGCTTATGACTTTGAGTTGGAGTAACAAAAAGGTTTATTCTTTAGGAGCCTCCCAGTAGCACTCACACATCTTTAACGGTTACTCTTAATGAGGTATTTCGTGACAGTTCACAGTTTTTGTCATTCTCTTTTATCGCTCGGCCTAGTAACACTTGTCCGGTAGTGTTGTAGGAGAGAAGTTCTCGATCATTCGTTCAGCTTCTCATCGCTTCTAAGCGATCATCCCTTTCCACTCGGTGCTGGCTATCGTTGCAATCTGTTTCCACCAGCAGGCCTCTAAGATTTGTTGCTTTGCCGGTACTGTTACGCAATTTTTCCCTGCTCCGAAACTAGCCTTATACTTTCTATTCATGTAAGCTGAAGCCTTATCCCCTTTCTTCTGGCACATTTTGGCCTAGTGCGGCCGAGAGAGAGGCCTAGTGCGGCCGAGGGAGGCGATACCCTCTAGTCATGATCCATGCTCAATTCCTTACGAGGTTTACCCACCTTGAATTCGTCCATCCATACCATCTTTGAGCAGTTCTACAAAACTTCGATCAGTTCTCGTATAGGTAAGGTGTCTCTAGATTTCTAGGTCACGAACATTGCTGACAGCTGGATCATGGATGGCGGCTAGGCCAAGGATTCTCTCGCGTTCTGCTCTCTCGCTTCAATTTCTCTGCTTTCGTAATCTCAAATGTC